TGTATTAATTCCAAACTGCTCAAATTTCGCGATGTCAGTCATGGTGTAGGTAGACGCTCCTCTGCGCTGAGGAATTCTGGACTTGATTCGTCGCGGGGCAGACTGGGATTAACCGAGGAATCGTGATCTGAGGAACTGGGGGAACGTGCTTCTAAACCGAAAAGTTCTAGGCTTGATGCGACACTAGGTGGGCTCGAGACGGCAGAGGGACTCCGGTCGGATGGATCTGGCGTAGGTGAGTGGGATGGAGGAACGTAATTTCTGTCCGGCAGCCCATGCAGGTCCAGGTGGTGCCTGTACGATTTGCAGAGATGAGGGAAACGGCGCCGGTCAACCAGACATCGCGGTTTCCCTTGCAGGAAGGTTGTAGGTCTGTTTGGCCGAAGGTTGTAGCGATTTATATTGCTGTTGCTAGATGTCACCAGTTCGTCTTCAGTTGCAGAACTTGGCAAGGACAGGATCGAGGTCTCAGTGTTGTTTCCCGATCGAGAGAGAGAACGAGCAATAAGAGTATGAAGAGGATTTGGTCCCTGTTCAAGGCTGGATTGAGTGTTGGGGCCACTGTGAGAGTTGGCAATTTGGGAGGCGGCAGCTGACGCCCGGTATGCACGGTCTTGAGTGAGCATGCGCCGGTAGGCTGACCTGACTGCTTCTGGCGATAGTGAAGGGAAAGCGGATTTCTGAATTTGGTTGAAACCCCAGCGATGATGGTGTCAAAGGTACGAAAGACGATTGAGCTCCTCGTCTGTCCAAGGGTGTATGTTTTGTCGCTTTTTGGCTCTTCTCCCCGGAAGTGGACGTGATGGCCTCTTCTGAAGTGGAGACGGTAATTGCGAGGAGTCAAATCTAGAGCTCGCTGCTGAAGATGACATTACTCTATTTGCTCTGATGGTTTGTGTCCAAAACCTTCCGTCTTGGCGTTGTTTTACTTGACAAATCGCAAGGGACGTCACAGTGCGATATCGGGTGACGGTGATGATGTGATAGTGATAGTGATAGTGATAGTGATA